GAAACGTCTGAGGTAGCAAAAATAATGAGAAAAGCTAATTTTAGTGAAAAATCGAGTGTTTTTCTTTCACATAAAAGAAAGAGTTTTCTTTAACATTTTTTCCGATTTTCCAAGTAGTCTTTTGAATTTTTTATCTCAAAAAGATGGCTCAAAATTTTTTCAATATCTACAGTTTTGTAGAGCTCGTGGAGCTCTATCGAACTATTAATTTTTTTCCAAGAAAAAAGTTTTACTCCATTTTTGAATTATTGATAACTTAATTTTCTACGCCAAAAAAGCATAAAATTTCTGAAAATTTCGTAAGTTCAACATTAAAATGCCTTCAGAAACTTTACTTTTTAGTACCAATAAATCCAGTTTTTGACGTCCTTTAACTTGGTATAAAATACATTTGTGATATCGTTGATAATTTAGGTTATACAGGGGGCGCAAAGGTTATTTAACAGCCTGTAGATGCGAATGTGGACGGGTGTTCACGTCATATTGTATGGCGGACTATCACACCCATGCTCTGTTCTAACATTTTATCGCGACCTTGTGGACGTGTTTCATTGGTCAGAAATGAAATCAGATATTCTCACTAGCACTTTCAAATTAAAGTTAATAGAGATTTATTAAAATCTGTCAATTTCTGTGTGCTCAAAATCCTATCATAAACAAATACATTGTCATAATTCTCTAGCAAATAATGATTTTACTTGAAATTTAAAGTTTGCTGAGATTTGACCCAGGTTTTGTCAGAATCATCAAGCTGGTCAACGAGCAAATAACTTTGCTTCGACTTTAGAAAAAAATCATTTCTACAATAAAATTTTATACAAGATTTCAGCTTTATTATAAAAACTATTGTGTTGTTTTCGAAGTTCGATAGTCACAAAATTAATTCATCTATAAAATGTCAAAATAAAATCGATTGGAACTTGTAGTGCCCGAACCACCAAGATCCAACCAGAATGAAACTGTATATTTACTACCAACTGATGCTGCAAATGTTTGAACGAGAAAATCAATGCCACTGCTGGCAATGCAACTGTCTTGAAAGCAATTACCAGTCGATAAATAGCAATCGATGGTAGAAACAATTTTTCCTGGAGATCCACCACATGTACTCGTACAATACTGTATCC